TTTTATTGATGTTGACAAAATCCGACCATCCCAGCGTCGAAACGGCGAACTTTTGGCAAAAAATTTCATTTTTCCTTAATTACTCTTAAACAGTTGAATCTACGGGAAAATTGTATATGACCTTTCTTGTAGAGGACGACGAGATTTACAATTTCTGTATAAAATTTTTTCGCTAGCATTAATATTTAACGAGTTATTGACGAAAAACGAAAAAACAGTTTTTTGCAAATTAGTCGTTAACTATAGACGCTAGCGAAAAATTTTTACATGGAAATTGTACATCTCGTCGTCCTCTACAAGAAAGGTCATACGCAATTTTTCCGTATATCCAACGGTTTGGGAATTATTGGCCAAAAACGAAAATTTGGAAGAAATTGAAGGGGTACCCCTTGGAAAAATCTCGGAAAAATCGAAAATTTTTTTTTGTTGTTTATTATTAACAATGTTCTTCCGACGTCTGATTTCTTTTTAAAAAATGCGTTTCTAAAGTGCATAAACTTTTGGGATTGACTGTATAGCCAATACATCCTTAATCCGTTGTCAACACCGACTATTATTATGAATACCAAAATTGAATTGAAATAAAAAGCAAAAATCATTCTTACCAATGAAAAACAAAATTCAACCGATTGCACAATTCTGCTCCATGTGGAAGCAGTCCAGAAACAGCAAAAAGAAAAGAAAACGACGAGGAAGAGAGACTGTTTGACAAAATGTAATCCGAGGACGGCCGAAGCACACGTCATCGCACGGTGGTAGCGCTTTTTTTCGCCACGCACACACGCGTAGGACCCAGAAGCTCGGGCAACCTGAATTGTGTCGGGCCACAAGAAACCACTAGAGCTCGTTCGACGGACATCGAGTGGGCCCCTCTTCTCTTCGTCCCACCTAAGTCAACAAGCACGATCCGCTGGCACGTCCGGGGTTACGGGCACGAGTGAGTGCTCGTCAATACACGCAGGTGCACGCAGGTGATTACCTGTACGCGTCGCGGACTGTCGATTATGTGTCGACCCGCGTGAATTCACGCCGTGCCGCGCCGTGAAAAACTTTTGACCGGCACAAACGAACGATCGGGCTTGTGCGGCTGTTAAAATCACCATTGATATCTCCGAATTCGAGGTCCCTTTCTCTTTCAAATTATTTCAATACCAAAACTCTGATGACTGCTTATGAAAGTTAATTTCATTAACTGAAATAAGAAGATTTTCTAGTAATAAATTACTTGTTTTTTAAATGCTTAAGAGACATAATTAGGTATTTGCTCTTTGCATAAGATCGTGACTCTTTTAGCTCGTTATTCCACGGAATCATAAATTATCGCTACAAGACATATTGAAGGCTATAAAATTAATAATTGAAACGAGGACAATTTTTCTTCCTTCTGATTTTTCCTCCCCTTTTTCTATGTGAGCACATACGTTCGCGTGTCACGGCCAGGTCACAGCCCGGCTTAGGATCGATATACACCCGATATGTTTATCACCTAGCGTTTTTAACGAGCGTTTATCGTCTCGCGGAACCGTGCGAGAGAGAGAGAGAGAGGGAGGGAGGCTGTCCTCGCGCGTTCGAACGGAATGGTGCGAAGAAAACGTGTTTCTCGTAGTACATCAGCGCGGACAAATTTATTACTAAATAAATAACTCGGTGAGATAGCGCAGCGCGGAGATTCGCGCGGCGTGAATCCATTCGCGCGCGTTTCACGGCGACGACGGTTCGGTATGCGCGAGACGAAAGTAATCGAATACCATCTCGAGTTCGAGCTGCGCGCTTATAGTATAGACGTATATATACAGATGATTACGGACGGTCGCGTAAGGGAAACGATGATCGAGGAGAGATTTAATGAACGACGATCAAGGCGCCACGTATTGCTTATACAATATTCTTTATTTTACTTGGTAATTTTTTTTCGCTAGACACTCCCGGTGCGTAATGCGCGCGTATCTTCCTCGCGTATTTGCATTTATATGTATCCACCCATTCTCCTTATCAATCTCACGTGCCTCATATTTCTTTTACACCGTTCGTCGCACAATTTTTCTTTTAATGACTGTCGTTCGATTGAAATCGAACGAGATTCCCGGAAGGAATTTTTCAATCACGCACCAAGGTCTCCGCGAGACGCTGACAAAGAGACGATTAATTGCATCGCGTTAAATAAAAGGAGTCGACATAAATAAAAGAAAATTTCGACGCGGCTAAACAAACGAAACACTGGCCATTCCTCGAGCGCCCGGATAGAACCATCGAAGATAGAACTTCGACTTCTCGGTCCTCTCAGACACCCTCACTCATTTTCGTACTTCTTCACAAGCGACAGAAATTCTACACACACAGACGTTATCGTTACACGTGTCCGTATCCGCGTACGCACTCGTTACACGTGTACGTACACACGCGCAGTTATTATTTAACGTTAGAATATCACGTGGTTTTTACTGGCACCCCCCTTTACTTTCTCTCTCTGGCTCGCTTCCACTCTTCCCGAATAGCTGGAAGATACCGAGTCGAGGCACAATCGTCCGTCGTACATCTAGCTGCGAAAGGGATGCATCATGCCGCATCGTCGGCCACTCCGTCAACGAACACCTGGCGAACCTAAAGGGAACCGTGTCGTCTAATACCGCGGACTTGAGCAATTTTACGTCGATCCGATCGCCGATCGTAAAGTCATTTGTGCAGAGCTACACGCGGCTCGTGACATCCGCTCTTCCTTCTATATTTGCCTTTCTATAGCGTCATCGTCCTTCGTCCTCCTGTTTCCTCGTCTCCCTCGTTACGCTTCCTTCATTCGATATTTCACTGTTCCTCTGTCTAAGCTAAGAAGTTTTCTCCCAGTCTCCAGTCGTCTTTTCCTTTTGCTTTCACTATACTCCATTCGATTCTTCAAATTTCAACGTCTTCCTCTGCTTTGACTAAAAACGTTTTCCTCCGCGAATCTCCAACGCATTCTCCGCCTCGCCGTTTCTCAGTACACTCGAACCAAGACGGCGACCGAGTCATCTTCGTCCCCGCGAAAGGACAACAATGCGAGTCTCTGTGGCGCGAAGGAGGGCTGGCACTCCGAGCAACGCCTCCGTGAGCGACGATTCAAGCCAGTCTAGTTTCCATCGAGAGCTGTCAACAAGCTGCCCCTCCGGGGTCACGTCTTTCTAGTCAGATCGAGAGGCGGCCCGGTATCCTGCAGCATCTCGTTGTCCTCGCTATCCGTCGACCTCTCCTCCTCCGTGCTACCAGCCGGGTCCGCGTCACGTCCGACCGCATCTATTCGACCAGCCTTCATGCTCAAATCGATCGGCTCGTCTTGTTCCGGGCCCAAGGAACGAAGAAACGCGAGACTCTTGTCATACGCCTCCATCTGATTCCTTTGACAACCCACCTCCGCACCCCTGCACTCGTCACGGCCGCTCCTATTATCGTCGTCTCTTTTTGGCGACGGCGTAGATCTTGGACTGACGCTGTCGCTAGAGGAACTCGTTAAACTGGCGACCATCTGCGGCGCGCCAACCTGATTCACATACGGAACGATGAAACGCTGCTGGAACGGGAAGAACGGCGCGTTCAGGAGCTGCATGTGCGTCAGTGCCGGATGGAAGAACGGCGGTCCTCTCCACATGGGAAACCTGGATACTTCCGGCCTGAGCAAATCGTGCGGTGCTCTGACCAGATCCACCGGCCTGAGGAGAGGATCCTGATTAGCCCTCGTCGGGATCTCCGGTGTTCGTAACTGCCCGGGGATGTCCTGAGGCCTGAGCTCATCCCTCTTCGGGAATCTATCCTGATGGTGGTGATGGTGATGGTAACTGTTCGCGGTGGTCGTAGTCGTGGTGACCATGCCAACACCGCCTGTCGCACTGGTCGTACCAGTGGTCTCGTTATTGTTGTTGTTGTTGTTATTGTTCGCCACGTCCAGCGAACCGAACGCCTTCTCGTAAGCGGATTTCGGGTCCTTGATCAGCCGCGCCTGGGCCTGATGCGATTGCTCCTGCAGGAGGCAGTGGATCTTGAACCAGTTCGATCGGCGCCCGTATCGCGAACCGGACTTCGACATTCCCACCATTAGACACTTCCTCAGCCGGCACGCTTTACACGCGGTGCGGTTCTTCTTGTTGATCACGCACACCCCGCCGTTCTTGCATTCGGAAATACTGCCCAGATTGTTGTAGGTGCGTCCGAAGAACGACTGTGGAACAGAAACGGGTTCGACGCGGACTTGTTAAAATTAATTGTTCAGTAAAGAAAATAAATTCCTCGGGGTAATCATTGAAATAAAGACAGAGTACGGAATTACGTTAATACGTTGCAAACGGATATCGTTGGTACCGTTCTTTAAACTGATTGCAGGAAAGAAAAGTGTGCTGACGAGATCAGCGGCAGAAATTACACGTTTAAAGAAGAACACGTGTAGGCAGGTACAATCATCAATGAGAAAAAAAGAAAAGTACAAATTCGAAGCTTTCTACGAGAAACGTGAAACCAGAGACCCGTGGGTCAACACGGTGTACGTACAGGTACAGCGCCCGGTAATTGTAACGTGAGGATGATGCACGCGTCTGCACGCTTAAGGCTACAATTTTATTTGCATTCGCGGGTGTACACATGCTCCACCGAGAGAGGGGCAGAAAAACAAAAAGAGGGAGCGAGAGAAAGAGAGAAGGAGACTGGGTCGGGTTAAGATGCGAGAGTATAAAACGGGCATTGAATTTTTCAGTCGCGTCGCGTCGGCCCGCGATGACGATCTAAAGAGAGCAAAGGGTTTGCCTGGTGGATACTGACCTTGCAACCTTCGCACGTGAAGGCCCCGAAGTGAAAACCCGCGGCCGGCTCTCCGCAGACCCTGCAGAGCTGATTCATCTGCAACAAAAAGATGCGACATGTGGTTACGCTTCGGCTAAGAAACCGAAGACGCTTAGAATGCGCCTGGTGATCAGGCTGCAACCACGCGCAATATGTGCCAATCACGGAACCGTTTCTTGCCCGCCTCGTCCCGAGGGGGACGATCAAGAAGGACTGTATAAGGAAAGATGAAAAAAAAAAAAAACAATCGTTTAAAACGTAGGCAAACGATACTAGATAAGAAACACCGACCGCGTCCATCGACGGTGACTCCCGCTGTTAACGCTATTTATTTCATCGGCCGAGACACCGTTTAGCGACGCGGGATTAATCACGCGATATTTAAACGAGCGGCGATCGATCGGGACAACGTATCCCGCGACGTTTCCGCGTCCAACGAGTTCCGCGGCGGGCCTCTCGCGGCGAGCGATTAAAACTTGAAACCGCGTGTACTACACGGGTACGCGGGAAAAGTTTTCGACGATTCCGCGTGATTTATCGGCGATCGAGGAAAGTATCTGTGAATGATGGGATCGATTCGCGGCACGGTGATCGTACACGCCGGCCGCCAATCATCGGGCGACGTGCCTCGCAAGAGTTCAGAATCAGAGGAGGTATAGAAAGAAATAGAGACGAACGTGTGAATACGTATGTGTGCGCCGTACGTACGTATGCGTGTGTGACGTTTCACGCTCGAAAAGCGACGCAGTCACGGTAAAAAGGGGACCTTCTCTTGCCCGGTGAAGAAGAGCCGGGGATTCGGTTGCGAGATCGTGTTCCTATTAAAACCTAGTTAGCCAGTCATTACGGCCCCGTAGCGTGTAGAACGCATAGATGAGTTTAGACGCGACGATCCAACGAGAAAGGATGACCGACACGGGAAAGGTAAAATCGTACCGTGAACTATGGAGAACGTGCATGCGATTTGAAGAGAGCGAACGATGTTTACGCTCGCGCGCTGTTCAAAGGGCGTACCGATTTTTACTTTCGTTTTCGTAATAAGAATTTCAAAACGTTGCCGACAAAAGGAGTGCTTATTATTTTCGTATCTTTTTATTAGGTAATAATGCTTCATTATACACAATTGAAATCAGTTAAATGGCAAACCTTAATGAACAGCGAACTGTAGAAAAATGTTTTTATAAAGAGAACAAAAGATTTTACTTTCTACAAAAAATCCAGAATCCCATCGACACTGAACGCTACAATTAATACGACATTTAGTCGAACTTACACGAACGCAGTCAATGAAAGAAATGTAGAAGTAATCGAATGGGAGTCTTGCAATAATCAAATGAGAAAGGATGAGCATCGCGAGAAAGGTAAAATCTGTACGTGGACGTAACAACGCATGATGAGAGAGGAGAATCGTACGAGAAGGGTGTATCGATTCTAGTTTGCGATTTCGCAACGAAAAGGCAATCGTCTATGTAAAGGGGCGTTCGTCGAAATAATATTACGTCAGCTCGCGTGCGTGCGCTCCAGGGAAGAGAGAAGGAACCTCTCCCGGGACGGCCTGGGTCAAAGGTCCGGCTGGACGTTTCGAAATAATTTTAGAATTCGTTTTTCTCTCGTTTCACGCCGGCGCGGCGTGTATCCCGCGAGATCAAAACGATTCAGAGAGACATTCTCTCGTTTGATGTTTCTGTTCCAAAGAATCCGAGCCATCCTCTGGTCAGGCACTGCCTGATACGTGCGTAGTACGTGCGTTCGAGCATAGAATGTAAATAGGTACATAGTGTGGTAATCGGTTATGCGTGAAAAGCTGTCCCGGCGAGCTTCGACGAGGTGATCGACAACGAACAACCATTAAGAAAAGTAATTAGAGGATCCGATGCAGGGAGAAACTGACGTGTTATCTCGGGTTCCGATGCCGCCGTGTTTACGAATCATTAAGCTTCGAAAACTTTCGATATGGATCGTCAAATAATATTTTGACAGATCAAATCAAAGGATCTTATACGTATCTTGCAGATTTATTTTGGAAGCTTTTTGTAACCATACAATTACCACTATATTTGCAATTTTTCATAATTGAACACTCTTCGCTTCATGGTAATAAGAGTGGCGTAAAAACAGTATAATACTGACATCATTGACTCTAACTACCTCGAATGCATATCAGCTACCAGTGTCATTAACTAAACTGGTTCAGGTACTAACGTTCCCAGTAGTTCTCGGCTCGAAGAAAAATTAATTTTGCGTATAAAAACGATCTCTCGTCCCAGTGAGTACCTGGTATCTAGACAGCTGCTAGTTTCTTGTATAAACCGACAGGAGCACAGGCTCGTGCACAGATAAAAAGAGTTAAACGCGCAACATGACGCTGTCATCTGGGTTCGAGCCCCGGCACTCAGGTCGATGCGATGTTCTCTCTTACACTTAGTTCAACGCCACGAATTTTGTTCTCGCATCGATCTCCGCTTATTGACCGTTTAATCGTACACCCGCGCGAATCCGCGTCTCATTAAGTAATGCGCGAAGGTAATGCCGATGACGAATGGCACTCGAGATACTACGCTGAAATGAAAGTAGCGTGCCGACCGGGGATACATATTTTTCCTCGCGTTACACGGTTGATGATTCGCGTTTCGCACTACGCACGCACACTTCACGGTCCTTTCTTTCGGCCCTGCAAAATTTGGATCTGTTGGAACAACGCCGTCTTTATTTTCTCCTTCCCCCTTTCCCTACTGAACTATAGGATTAACATGGCCACCGGTTTTTTGCAAGAAACGTTCTTCTAAAATAATCTGATCGTACTACAATTTTAAACGTCTTTTAAAGGTCTGAATAAAAATGAAGTATGGATAATTGCTACGAATGAGAAACAGGCGAGCATCGTAATCTCGATTCGACAACAGGAATGGCATCGCATTACGTGATACACGGTTCGATCTGGTGAAAAAAAAGATAAGAAAAAGGACTCACCACGTCGGTGTTGGACGCTGCCGTGGCGATCGTCGACGTAGGCGTCCACCACCCCGCGGTGGCGGATGTCGCGCTTGTAATGATACCAACACCCGTTGCACCAGGGATGGATCCGCTCCCAGCCAATCCTGCCGAGCTCGACAAATCGCCCACGTCCATTCGATGTTCCTTTAATCTCTCGATGCAAACCGTGCGCGCCGGTCCCTCGAGCCGTCCGTTCCATGTACGATGTCGCGACCCAACATTTTCGTGCGTGTCTTACAAGCGGCCGAAACGCCGGCCCGTAGAAAATTTCGTGCCGCGGCACCGCGGATTCTCACGACCTCCCGCCTCCCCGGTTTTAAAACCGGGGACCACCGGCTGACCCTTCCTTCGTTCCTCGCCTCCTTGGAAGGACCGCGTAAACTGGAACCACCGCCACGAATTCAAATCGTTTATTATCGTTCGATGAATTCTTTATTTAAATCGTTCGAGCTGAAACGATATGCGAAGGATCTGAGCTGGGAATATTCTTTCAGATTTATTCGTATGCTGTGATGATTCGCTCCGGTGTTTGATAAGCTAATTTAGCGTACCAATTAAGCAGATGCGATATCTCGTGATTTAATTTAGCGTTCGGTTCGGCGAACACGCGGCGTCACGTGAATTGCGTACAACGTGTTAAGTGGGGTATAAATACTTTAATGGCGGTTATTTCACGTCCGCGTAAAACTCTGGAATAATTATTTGTTGATTTATGAGATTTTAACCAAGCAATTACGCTGCTCTCTTTAATTACGTATTCGCGCTTCCCTCTTTCTCCCACGGATACGCATTGAATAGAAAGGCTTTGTTCAGGCGATCGTTTCCCAGAAACAGGAATTTTTTGACTGAAAAAAATAATTGGAAGAGTAAAGAGTCGAACTGAAGGTACGCGTAACCTGGAGCGTGATAATTAACTTCTCAACGGTCAGTTAATAATTTTCCGTTAACGACTGTCTCAAGTACACACGTTTTTACTGTTATTCAATTAACCGGTATTCAATTTTTTACCACCAAAGAAGTAGCGAAATCCTCGAATAATTGTTGGAACAGTTTACGATAGAAACCAGAATAAAATATTCTGCGGAACTGAACGAAAAAATATTAATTGACTATTTAACGATGTTTATTGACTCTTCCAAAAAATAGCATCGAGACGTCGAATAAAATCCGCGGGTGAAATTCTGCGTTCAACGTTTCTCGAGCGAATCCTCGGCCCAGCCGAGATAACATGTCGTGTTTACAGCGATGTAACGCCATTACCATGTTAACGGAGCCCGCCTCGCGAGAGCCGCATAAATACGAGCGCTAATTACGGCGCCGACCACGTATTAATTTCATCCCGTGCGCGGGAACCGAACCCGTGTACCCCGGTGAACCGCGGCGCGTGTAAGCGCGCCCGCGCTTCCGATTAACGAGATTACGTTCCCGATCCATTAAAACGAGGAGCCAACACCCTTTGCGAGTATCAGACGCCGCGTACATGGAATATCCAAGATTTTGATCGTTTCAACACATAATTATCGATGTTCCTATCTTATATCCGAGACTAAGGAACTGTTCAATGACGACTGAGAAATAAGTATAGATATTTCGTTGGAGAAACGATCTGGAATTTCGATTAAATAGCTAGCGAGCGAAGATTGATTTGTAGTTATCGGTGGTTGACGCGATCCGATCTAGGAAGCACGAAGAAAATTCGAATGATGCATGTACCGGGAAGAGGTAGCAAGCACGCATCCTGTTCTTTCCTTTTGTACGTCTACGAAAACGATCTTTCTCCGCGAAATATCGAGCCGATCGAACGATGAACGAGCGACGAAGAAAACACGGCGAGTACCGCGACGTCGCGGCGCGCCGTGACGCCGGTAAATTTTATCGCGGGTACGTCTTCCTTAAATAATGACAAATTAATTAAGGTGCCGTATCGCGGCGCGCCGCGGAAGACCGGTTTCGCTCGTCGCCTCCGCCGCGGCCGCAATAAATCCACGTTTCTACGGGCGACTCGTTCCCGTTTACTGCGGGAAATATAATGCGACGAAACGAATTTCCGCAATCGCGAACGCGCCGCAGAAAATTGTAATATTGCTTGAATTTTAACGACGCGACTCCGCCGGTCCGACACCAACCGTGCCTAAATGGGTTCGTGCCATTTCGCGACAATTGATCAAATTGTTAAATTCTTCCGGCTGTAATTAATAGTGACTGTGGCCTCTGGTCGTGCGAAAAATTTGCATTTCCAATCTCACGACTCGTTGACATCTACATTTCTGAACGATTAATTCTGCAATTTCAGCTGCGATTACGATAGTAAACATTCATAAACGCTTTACTGATCTTTCTTACATAATCGTGAAAACATCGACGGATCTATTTGCGTCGAAGATTCATACGGTGGAACAATGGTTACAACAATTTCAACGTGGAAATTCATAAGCAGTGTTACAATCGAAATTAACGAAAGACATTCACGCCGAGAAACTATTTTCAAGAACCGTGAAGGGAGAGCAAAGGGACAAGGCAGAAACGAGCGAACACAAGCAACGTGGCACAAGATTTGCGAGTGAATACTTTCGAGACGACTCCCCATGGAATCATGCAACAACCGTAGACCCTCGTGCAAAGTTACCCACGAGGCGCAACAAGTTTGCAGTCCTTGAAATAATCGCTCTTTTACCCGCACACGCATTACTGCGTCTATGCAAACGTAATACATCGCGTCACTCTTTAGAAGACCGCCTGGCAAGCTAGATTAGCAGCATCGCACAATCCGTGTCCGAGAGGGACTGAAAACGACGACGCTGTCTCGCCGACAGCGAGCAATTCCGATTACTCAAACCCGGAGACACTGGACGGTGCTCGCGTAGTACGTGTCCGGATTCCATTTTTTTCTCATGAAACATTTGCGTAACGATATTAATATTCCGACGGCAATCGTTTAATGGAACATCTTCCAAGGCAATTATTTTAAAGGATTTGGAAAGTCGATCGTTGTTTCTCACAGACGAAGAAGGAGCAGCGTCTCTCCGAACATAGTCACACGATTGACAGGTCCGGGAACAAGTACATCGACGTAGCACGCAAAAAATTGCTGACCAAGATGGAAATTATGTTCACTGGAGGAATACGTTTTGAACGTGATTAGAAGTACTTTCGTACTCGTCAGACAGACACAGCGTGATCGCCGTAAAAGAGCGGCTAGCGCAATTTTTTTCGACTTTCCCAGGCCGTCACGCATCATTAATATCCTAATTGTCCGTCAACTTTTTCACCCTGACCGATGATCCTCCGAGGCATCGGCGTTCGTAATAATAATGATTGAAAGGTGAAACACTCGCGTCAAAAGTATAGCCCCGTACCGCTCGTTCTCTCTCTTTTCGGACATCCTCCGTCTCTTTTATCTTTTTTCCCTTTTTTTTTTCTTCTTTATCACCCTCCCCCTTTTTTCCTATCGCAAGCATCGCGATCGCTGCCGACCCATGGCAGCCAATGAGTGACGAGCGGCTGCAGCTTTAATGAACCGGTTGTGAGCGGCACGTTACACGGATATCATGGTACTGACTGTAGACAGTTGAAATTGTTGTACCCGGTCGTCGTGACAAATTAATCGCCGACGCCGCCGAATCGGCAATAGACAAGGAGAGGAACATAGTAGAAGAGAGAAAACGAATGGGTTTTTCGTGCTAGCCAGAGGCTAGTCGATTTGAACGTCGAGAGAATAAGATTGAATTTCTTCATGATCACGATCTATCAATTCATTCAATTCCTGCGAATCAAACGTCCGTAGAACCGAACACTCTTATTTTGTAATGCCATCAGAGATTGCCTTTTACTATCTGATTTATAAAATGACACCACAGTTCCTAAAACACTCCTACGGCACGGCACGTTTCATTCGATCCGTGAGTAGAACGTTCCCTGTATAGTCAGACATTTTCTGGCGGGGATCCCGAAACGATCACGATCACCACAGTGCACCGAACATCGGTGGCCTACTCGACTCTCTTCCCGCTCAAATCCTTCGGAAATCCATCGACATGCTGGTGCACGCATGTTCGTCGATGGGCATGTTACACGTACCATCAGCCAGGACGAGAGTCTCACCGGTCGAGTACCCTCCTACGCGAGGCACCGTTCTTCCGGTCGCACGTCGCTTCAGAGTACAGAACCGGCCGTGTACCTCGTGTCCATTCGTGCACCATCTTCCAGCGACGTTCCCATAGCTACCGTAGTCGATGGAACTTGTATCCGAGAAATATATATGCACACCCACGTCCGCGACACAGATCGGTTGAAATCGCTTGGAGATTTACTCGTCGCATGGACGTCCGGCGCAGTTTCGACGCACTCTACTCGATGCTGTTCACCCGTGCCTCGAGTGTTCCCGCGATTAGCCGAGCGGCGTCCACTCGGAATCCGCTTGCGGATAAACACCAGCCGGGTACGCGCGAGGAGCGGACACGGAAGCGGGGAAAAAATCGACGAAAAGGATGGAGCAAAAAAAACGAGAACGAGAACGAGGGAAGAGAGGAGCGGACTGTAGCGACGTCCGGTGCACGAAAGAAGAATAGAGGTAGGAGAAGAAGGAGGAAGCGTGGGATAAAACGGGACGAAGAAGAAGAGGACGGTGTCGTGGCTGGACCACCGGCCGGCTCGGGGCGTGCGCTCGTGTAGCACGTGGCCGCGAGACTGAATATCCCCTACCTTGGCCACCTTCGTCAGTCCGTTTGTCCGCCTCGTCCTTATCTTACCTAGTCGCCCGAGAAAGACTACCGCGGCCTTCTCTCGTTCTCTCTCCTCTCCCCACTGCCTGTACCCTCTCCTTCTCGAACCTCTGCTCCTCTTCCCAGCTTCTTTCTTCTCCTCCTTCACTTCTTCTTCTTCTTCTTCTGCTTCTTCTTCTTCTTCTCCGCGTTTCTCGCTGTTTCCTCTCCACCTTCTTACTCGCTCCTCTCGAGCACTGCTGTTGTTCCTAGTTCTTCCTCCTCCTACTCTGCTTGCCGATGTTCTGGCTTCTCCTCTTGGTTCCGATCTCGCGAGCTTGTCGATCTCTCCCCGCGTGCAATACCCATCTCCGCGCGGCCGAGAATCTCTACGTTGCTTGTATGCGTCTACTCTATCGCGACCAGTTGCCGGATACTCCACGCTTCTTCATGCACTTGCAGTGAAACGTTCACGTTAAACTAATACATTTATAAAAAGAAACTATTACACGGTGCTCGATGAGATTTGAAAGAATCGAAGGAAAAAGTCCGACAGTACAAACTTGGACAGTTTCAAAAATTCACATCGATGATAGCAATTTACTCTTATACCCGCGAATCACATGTTTGTAACTTGTTCGAATGACAAATTTCATCCGCGGGTACGTAATATTCTTCACAACTTGTAAACACTCATTTATTCTCGTCAAATCAATCGCGAGCTTCCTTAAAAGGAAATGGGAAAAAATACCGAAAAGACGCGGGCTGTAATCAAAGCTGAGAATTATGAACAGTTCTCAACCTCTGTAACAAAATTCAGGTTCATAAAGTAGCCGGGGTACATTTCCCTCGGGGGATCGCTAAGTATCAGTAGACAACTATCGGTATTTAATGAGCCGTATGTTTGATGCCCCGTTTTCCCGTGTTTGATTCGTGAAACGCGCGGAGAACGTTAACCGCCGCCTAAATATAACGCGTAAAATCGAGGGAAACGTTTCTTGACCGGCGATATTTTATTGTCTATTTTCTTGAATTTCGTATTCGCATACACGAATTCTTGATCGTAAACAATCGCAACAAAAATATTTGCAACATGAAATGATTTAAAAGAAAAAATCGTAGAAGTCAAATTGAGCTGTACATTGCTTGAATAAAGGATTTTTCAATTTTTCAGGAAGCTTTCTATGAAGCGCTTGCTAAAAGCCGAGGAGGAGGCTTCAATGCTCGCACAAGAAAGGCGACTGGTGATTTCAACGCAGAGTCAAGCATGCATCGCTCTTTTAGCCCAAACTCAGCGCTTACAGCCACACAATACTTATTTCAATTTAAGTACGCCTGATCCTCCTTTTATACTGCGGAAAGCGTACCGAGTAAAAGAAAATCGTGTAAAAAGATACAAATATTAATTAGCAGAACTTTAAATAAATTGTGCTTGGAACCACGTAACTTTTAAGTCGTGTAAAAAGAATACCGTATAAGAAAAAGATCAGGTGTCGTCGACTATACTTAGTATACTACATATAATATACTGTACGAAATAAATCTCATTTACATACAAAGTCTTTAAATCGGACCTTCCACCAACTGACTCGATTCCTCTATTGTTATGATCATTACGCACGCGATAGCGATCGTAAGAATTGTTTATCTCGTTACCGCGGTGCGAAATAATTACATCCGCGGAAAAACTGCTTGTCTCGGATAACAACAATCAAGCTCCGATTCATCGGGTAATAGCAAGGCGCGCGAGGCAGTAAAATAAAAATCGTATTGATCTTTACGTAATCGCGTCACGGAATAGTCGTAAAACGCGGACGATCTCACGTGTAATACGTAGTTACACGTTCGCCGGATCCTGTTTAAAGGCCCATTCGATAAAAATCCGGGATTCGTGCGAGAGCCGCGGCTTTGTTGAGCGTTGCTCGAGGAAGATCCGCGAATGTATTTCAATTAAGTGCCGAGTTCCATCATCCTCGCCGTCTCCCTCTCGCAGCCGGTTCATTTAAAACGAGACAAATGGTATATCATGGTATCACGGTTGAATGGGATAAACCAGGGGAAGGTAAGGTCGTTCGAAGTAGGAGGCGCATGATCAGCAACCAATGGAAAGAGCCGCCACCCACGAAGCTATAAAAATTAATTTATCACATGGATCGCCGCCTACGCCATTGCTCCGATCGCGGGCATCTATGTTTCGCAGCATCCCGTTAGGTAGCGTAATCTGTCGGGTGCGGCTCGACGAAACCGATAAGAATATCTCCCACAAAATTTGAATGAAAATAATTATAAACTAGTTAAGCAATTAGTATTATTAATATACTGTATCTTTTCCATTATTTTTATTTAATGAAATAATTGTAAAATTAAAAGAGAACAAAATTTCATTAAAGGGGGCACCACGATACGGTGGGAAATCTTTATAGAACTGACGTACCGATGAAGATAAGAAATAATAAATTTGGAAATACATAAAATTGATTATTTGGTCATCTGGTCAAGAATCGTGAAATAAAGATTCCAAGATTCATTTCCGTTCATTTATTAATAAGAATTATTCATTTTTACAATACATTACTGCACGTAGATTCGAAACAGATGAAGTTGATTTCAATAGCAGTTCGTTCTAGTGCTGGGCACTATCGACTAATTTAAAGTATTGACTACCTAGGAAATAATCGCAATATCGACTAATTAGTCGATAGTTTTTAGTCGGATGAAATATCGCTCTCGCGGTTATGCCTCTATATTGTGATTATAGCGTTCATATTTAAATAGCATTTTTATTTCGCTATACTTGACCAAACATGATCTAAAGTATCGATCACGCATTACGCATTTTCCAATCTAATTTATTATAGGAATGCATAATTATGACTAATAAATTAACAGAAATGCATCTCAGAAATTTTATTTCGCGATCCTTGAATAAATATAATCCAAAGCAGCGATCATGCATTACTTTGTTCGGTAAAACTACCGAAGCGGAAAACGAAAACATAACATTGTCAT